CGTTTTGCTGTTAAGAGGGAAAATAAGGTCTGTTATTGCCAGTACATATTCCACACAACTGGAGAATAACCTTAGTTGATTAAAATAGCAAGTTATTCAGGTTCAGCATATTCTCTTTCATGACACCATGTTTAGATTTGAATTTTTTCTCTATAATAAATTGAAACTTGTTTTACTCAAATGAGGTATTTTGTGGGAAATTCTACCATGGTTGTTGGATATCACTCACTAATCCTGTTTTGCGAGATTATGAGAATTGAGGATTATGTTCTAAACTGAGGTAAGGGAATTGGAATAATAGAGTGTTTACACTGCTTCAATCAAACCACTGACCACCCAACTTGTGGAATAATTTTGTCTCCATTTTACAATGATACTATATAGGAATAGACTGAAATAGTTGCAGATCAAAAAACTTCAACTAAAAAAAAAAAATATAAAAAGCTAGTGTTAACAAAGTTTGTTAAATGTTTAGAAAACCTTTGCAAACTGCTGATGACTCAGAGGCAAGAGTCAGGTGAAATTCTTGTTACTTGATACACAAGCCTAGCCACAAACCAACCTTGAGTTTACCACGTGAATGGCTATTATAAAATGCAACAGATGTGAACTGTAAAATAATACAATGTTTAGAAAATTTAAAATGATTAATTCCAATTCCTTTATTAAACGTGCTTTGAAATCCGCACTTTTTATTTAGATTTCATATTTGTCTCTGGGTTGTCAATTATTAATTGATAATTTTAATATACTTTACTTTAAAAAGGCAACCATACAAATGTAGGTATTTTAAGCCAAGTATGAATGGAGATTAGTGTAGGATGAGTGACGCTTTCTTATAATCTTGTTAGTGACTAAGGCCGACATATTCCTTAAGACACAGCTGTTAGTTAATAGCCCATACAGCCAATGGCAACGGACCTACAGTTTATAGTGGAATCCGAACCATGTTTTTGCCTTGTAATAAATGAATTGTTCTAGTTATCAGGACAGTACTGCGGATAGTCGCAGTACTCACTAGTGCGGACTCTAATCCACACTAGGGAGCATCCATCCACAGTGCATGCCTATAAATATCCACAATTCGTGACCTCCTAGTAGCTGGATTAAAAAAATAAGAAAAATTGTTCAAGAACTTAAGTAAAGAAAACGTGTTAAGTTAATAATATTATACTTTATGTATTATATTTCTTCAAAGTATAGCTATCTGGAACTATTCAAATAAAAAAACAATATAATCCTACTCAGCTTTTAACATGAGGTAAGTCTGTATAATTCAATCATAGTTTAAAGGTTTAAACAGTTTAATGACTCTCACAATTGACAAGCCGCTGAAATCAGAAAGATGAGTGATTTTCAAAGAGAAGCATCAATCTTGATGGCCAATGTTGATGTCATCAACTCAGTAATGGATATCTTCAGTTACAATCTGCTTTGCTAGTCACTGCCTAATGGCTTGTATCATAGATAAACATTTACTGCAAGTCATTGGTCATACAAGCCCATGTGTCATTGGATTATCGGATTGACTTAATCCTTTCAGTACAAAGTTCAATTTTTTAAATGCCAACTATTATCGTTAATTTATGTTTTTCTCTACAGACAATATACACTGCATTGATTTTACATTAAGGGCTATCTATTTCATATTGATTGCTTATTAGATTAATAAAATTTACTAAAATTTATAATGAAGCTTATAAAACATTAAATAAAATAAATGGTGTGTTATGTACAATTTATTTCTCATTCGCCTCATTGTGATTTGGATTCCCTAAATTCCATTCAAATTACACAAATCAAGATTTAATGTATTATATTTAATAATATTCTTATATTCTTTTAATATTTTAGTGTTACACTACCTGAGGCAATATTTCTACTGATAATGAAAATCTAAGAGAAAGCAATTTCTTTCATCAGATCTAACCAAAAAATGACTTTCTACCAATATAGACTGCATTTATAGCAAATTAAACCTGGTACTTCGTGCACAGAAAAATTAAACATACCCAAATAGAGGGCCAGGCTTTAAGTAACCATGGGATTGCAGCGCAGCTAGAACAGCTTATTGTGCACAAACATACCCAAACTTGACGTGCCTTAAAATAAATGGCTAAAAGTCAAAGGATTTGAATGTTATAAAATCTTTATACAACAAGTAACAAAGTAATAAAACACTATTTTGACATATTGGTATTTCAAATTTTTGTCTGCTTTTTTGGATTTAATTTATACCTTTCTCTACCTTTAATTTTAATCTACCTTTTGATAGATAAAAAATTATCTAATTTAGTAAAACCACATTGGCTATCTGTTTCAGCTAAAAAAAATATAGGTCTCATTAGGTTACATGGATAAAGGCCTTTTCACACCGGCGTACTGGACGTACTGTACGTTTGGTACGGCCAGTACGCGGTCCTTTCACACCGCACAGAAACTTCCAAAACGTACACTTGTTCGTTTGCAGTCAGACAATTAACACTGGCTGAGCACGTGGTTTTGAAGTGTTCACTGCGCATTCCCGAGCCCATGTACGCCACGTACGTTTTAGAAAAATCGCTCTCTGAGCGATTCACATAAGACCATCACGTACGTAGTGGACGTTCTGTACGTTCTGTACGCGCGGTGTGAACAAGCTCATATGATAACATGGGCAGCGATTTGTTGAAAAAAAACGTACCAAACGTACAGTACGTCCAGTACACCGGTGTGAAAAGGCCTTTAAACCAGACCAAACAAATAATCTATAATTAATACATGTTTTCCTAAGTTTAAAAAACGATGCAAACAATCAAATAATATTTGGATAACAGATGATTTGAAGAATGAAAAAACTAAAATTGTAAACATGAGTAAAATGGCACGTAACACAAAAAATAAAATTTTATTTGATAAAGCCAAAAGTCTGAATAAGGATTTTAGAAAAAAAGTCATTGCTACTAAAAAGAAACATTTTGAGACTAAGGTTAAGCAATCTAGTAATGTATGTAAAACTACCTGGAAAATCTTTAATAATGAGGTCTCCAACAAGAAACCAGCATTTAGTAATATTGAAATAGATTTTAATCATACATTGTTTACTGATCCTGGAGATATTAGCTTAATATTTAATGATTTTTTTAGCACCTATGTAACCTCATCAATACTTCCTCACCTTGCACAAAATAGCAACACACATGTCAACAAGCCAATTCAACAAGTCTCCCAAACTAAATTTAGGTTAAAACCAGTCACAGATAGTGAAGTTTTAAAAATTATCAGTTCTTTTGATAACAAACTTTCAACTGGTTTTGATGAGATACCCATGACAATATTAAAGCATGCTTACTATCAGTTAGTGAAACCTCTTGTGCATTTAATTAACTCATCTTTTGTTAGTGGATTATTTCCTTCTAAATTAAAAATTGCTAAAGTTATTCCTCTTTATAAAAACAACGATTCTAAAAAAATTACCAATTACCGTCCTCTTTCGCTATTACCTACCATTTCAAAAATATATGAGAAAGCAGTTTACATACAACTGACGAACTATCTGGAAACGTATTCTTTACATGATAATAATCAGCATGGCTTCAGATCAGGAAGATCAGTTACAACTGCAGCAATAGATTTTATAGAATCAGTAATAAACTCTCTTGACAAAGGTGAAACAACAGTTGGCATATTTTTAGACTTAAGTAAGGCTTTTGACAGTGTGTCACATACAATTCTTTTAGATAAAATCAGAAATTTGGGCATTGATGGCATTTCGTTTGAATGGTTTAGATCATATATTTCTAACAGATATCAATACGTTGAAATTAAAAATTTGACAAATAACAGGTTAATCTCAAGATCTTCTCCTCTTACAGAGATTCACCATGGGGTACCCCAAGGGTCTATTTTGGGACCGATCTTATTTCTCATTTATATTAGGGATCTGTCAATTCCATTTTCAACTAGTTTACACAGTAGTAATATCTGCCTGTATGCTGATGATGTTACTTTTAAAATCAGCAATTCATCTTTATCAAATTTAGAAAATCATTGTTCTGATACTTTAAATATGCTAAATACTTTTTTAAATTCTCATCAGCTCTTGTTAAATTTAAGCAAAAGTAATTTTATGGTTTTTACAACAGGAAAAAGAAAACAAATTGTACAGCCTGTAATTCAATTTCAAAATAATAAATTGGAAGAAATCACCACAACAAGGTTTTTAGGATTAATTGTAGACAAAAATCTTACATGGAATAAGCATGTTGACCAGGTAGTCAACAAAATTACTTCTGGTATCCATGCTATTAATAGAATGTCAAAATTTTGCTCAATAGAAACCTTAAAGATTCTTTATTTTGCTTTTATCGATTCATCAATATCTTTTGGCATAAGTATTTATGGCTGTACCTCTAAGCAAAACCTGGATAGAATTCTTACTCTTCAAAAAAGTGCAATCAGAATTATGTTAAATTTAGAATGGGATACTTCCGCTCGTCAATATTTTTCAAAATTGGGAATAATGACTGTGTATAGTATTTATGTTTTTCATACAATTTTACACACAAAAAAACTTTCTAATGCTAATTTGGTCCCTAAACTTGGTGATTGTCATAATTATTTTACCCGGAACAGAAACGAAATTGCTGTCAGTGTCCATAACTTGGAGCTCTTTAACAAAAAAACCACCTGTGCAGGGAAAAGGTTTTTGGACAAACTCCCAGCTGAGGTGAGGAATATTGATAATATTTCCAAATTTAAAAAAAAACTTAAACATTTCTTAACTGATAAAACACTTTATGGTTTCGATGAATTGTAGATTAGTTTTTATTTAGTTTTAAGCCTAGTGACGCCATTCAATGTATGCGACTGTATACCATATGAATAAAGATATTTTTTCATTTCATTCATTTCATTTCATTTCATTTCATTTCATTTCATTCAATCTGAAGCTAAGTTCTAAACAAGCATCTTACTGTAAGAGGTCAAGAAGGTATAAAAAAAAAGTTCAATCTTCTTAACCAAAAAACTATATTGTATAAAACGTAACTACATGTATCACACTTGACGTTCCTGAGTATAAAAATATAAAATATAACAAAATAGTGATGGTTGTAAAACAATAGGTAGTAATATAAGTTGTTGCAGCTCATTTTTATCGCTTTCTACCTTTTTTCTTGTCCATCGCAAAGCCCCAGTCATCATCAGGCTCCACAGGTGGTGGGGAGGGAGGAAGTACGTCGTCGATGTTCTCACAGTTGGCGTAGTGTGGCACCAAATCACTGCCGCCTATAATGTGTGGAATAGCCCTCTTGTTTAGTCCTGTAACCTGTGAAACGTAAATTGTTTTAATATAACAATCACATGCTGTAAATGAAAATCTGCTATGCCAACCTTTAGAAATAAATTAAATTTGCAATAGAGCCTTACCACAAAAATGCTATCTAAAATAAAAATGTTCTCCATTATGCCATTGAAAGAAACTATGCGTTTATTGTGAAACATTGGAAAATTTGCCCATGAATGTCTGGGTAAGGCTTATTCCCAATCTTAAAATTCAATAGAGCTCTACCCTCCAGCTTTCAAAGTTATGATGTAAAGCCTATGAGAACTATTTTATTGGTTGATTTTTGTCGCATCCGGGCCTAGATGCTAACAAAGAAGCAGGTACTCAAATAAAACACACAGTCAATATTTAAGAAAAGCCGTATTGGCGTGCGGGAGCCGGTGAGGTAGGACGACTGACTGTACATACATACATAGTGTGTCGGGTGATCATAGTAGCAATGGGAACGGAAGGTGGTGTGATGAAAAAACCAATGGGGTAAGTTTATTCGATCAGGCCATATGACTTCACATTGTATGATCCAATTGTACATGGATCAAGCTAGCAGATTAAATGCAAGCAACCATGAGAATTATAAATATGCAATGGATTTTAATACTCTACAATTTTCATGAAATCAATAGGAAGATTACAAATGTATTTATGTATTTTGTTTACAACTTTTTTCTTCTTATTTCCTTATCAATTTATAACGACCACAAAATACATGACTCGTAGTAAAACCGCATTGTTTGTTTGATTATTTATTCCATAGTGATGTCATTGATAAAAAAAAACTGCTAAATCCAAGGTTCTAAGCCATTCAAGTCCAGATTTGTTAATACTATGGGGCGATCCATCATTGAAGAGCTATCAAAAGCACAGAAAACATATTACTATAACCCAGAATGCCAACCGCATGGTAAAAAGCATTAAGTGTTTTGAGAGAGCTTTGCCTGTCAATCGTACGCAGCGCCACCAGCGTTGCCATGCACTCAGCATAGCAACGCTGGTGGCGCTGCCTACAGTTGACAGGCAAAGCTCTCTCAAAACACTTAATGCTTTTTACCATGCGGTTGGCATTCTGGGTTATAGTAATATGTTTTCTGTGATCAAAAGGCAATTATTGACCGAGTGGTTCATAGTCGGAGATATGAGAGATCATCTGTCATTCCCTATTTCAACCTCCAGAACCAAGCAGTGTCAATCCAAGTGATGGGTTAGGAACCAAGAAGTACCTTATTACACTCTGGAAAGACTACCGAGAGTTTAAGGGAATGAACACGTTAGAGAACTTTTAATGAAACTAAATGAATATCTTGCAGAGCATTTTATTTTTATGAAGCCGAATGAATAAATTATACAACTGTTGGACGAAACTAAATGAATAACTTGCAGAGCTTTTGGATGGAAATAAATGGCTAACTTTTGGAACTTCAATAATAAATACAACTTAAATAATACCAGCATTTTGATGAAGCTTGAGGAATCTCTTGCAGAACTTTATGAAAGAACTACCGAGCAACGCTTGTTTGCTGTACCTTTGACTATTGATAGAATTAGACTTTCCATCCCCATGTTAAGTTGTTGCCTTTTTTTATTAAAATTTATGTAGTTGATATGAGGCACTGGCAGACACTATTTTTTGGCGAATTTGCAGGCTTTTTAACCAACTATTGTAAACTATAACATCTTGGCGAAAGTTGGTCCATATAGATGGGATGGCTACTTCAGTATCCAAAAATTTATGATTGTACTGAATACATACCTTGCGGAACTTTTTAAAGTTCTTGCCGCTGCTGATTGCATTGGCCACTACGGGTTCCTGTTTCGCCACCACCAACGGCTTGACAACTACAATGGTTGTGTTGTAGAGTTCCTTCGATAGCTCATCAATTTCATCATCGTTGCATACCTCCTGTAATCATACATTGGCATTAAATCGATTAAATTTATTTTTATTACCAAAAAAATGAACCACAAAAATGTCAATGCTCAATATTACATATCATTAGATGGCAGACAATTTATATACAGATTGTATTTCCGGCTCATTGTCTGAGTTCAGATTTGCAGCATTGATCTTTACTAACAAGTATGTGTAGATAGATTCATATAGAATCTACCTTCCATCATTCAAAAATACTTTCTACTTCTAGAGATGTGGAGCCAGTAAACTCTATAGTATGCTAAATTGAATATTTGGCTTCAATGTAGGATTTTTGCCAAGTGACAAACATTTTTCAAATTGTCTTTAGGCTTGAAATACATAAGTTATGATATTTAAATCCAATAACTCCTTTAAAATGTTGATTGATTTCTTTGTAAAAGTCTAAAATACTGAGGAGATACTTAAAATGCTCACTTAGGGGGGAAAATAGCCTAACTAAATGATTACTTTTAAATAAAAGAAGAAACTATCCGTAAAATGAATAACTAGACGCCCCATCTATATGGATTAGCTGTAGCCATTTCATTAGTAAAAAAAGTTCGTAGTTGTGTGACCCAGTCAGAGAATGCGCTAGTGGCTAAAACTATATTTTCTACCTTATTTTTTTGTTGCTGGCCAAGTTGATGGGTCATAGCAGTTGCTATAGCTCACAATAAGTAATTCCATTAGTTTGAATTGGTAAAAAATATTGTGTATTATTAAACAGAAATCAGTAATTTAGATCAGCACAATCTGTTGGTGGCTCACATCAACTACAGCGATTTTGGTACAAAAGCTGGCTACAAATTTAACATGGGGATGGGATGTCTAAACTAGCCTATTGTAAGTTTCAAAGTAAGAGATTATTTTAAAGATAAAAATAATAGTGAAACCCTTCCCTTAAGTGCATCAAACAACTTGCAACACTTTTACTAAAGATAAAACTAGTAAGTTGAAAAAAATTACCGATTATTACAAATGGAATACAATATACTATTATTAGTATAATTCTGATTACAAACCTGTTTTACATTATGGGATTTGTCTTTACTATACACTACAGCCGTCTTTTCATCTGGAGGATCAAAAACAATTGGTTCACTAGCGTCCTGTACATCTGTGGAATTCTCTTTTTTGCTAAATAACCCGAGTTTCACTTCCAGTTCAGGTTCATCTATATTGACAACACTCTCATCTTCCTTTCTTTTCTTTAACGTTTGGCCCTCAGTAAAAGCAAACAAATCATCTTCATTATTCTCATAAGATGCTAAGTTACGATTAGTCATACCAGAGCAACTAGGCCTATTATTGCTCTCATTGATATTGCTCGTATCAAACATATCTGCGTTACTCGACCGGTTACGTTTTTTTGAGCTTTTGCTCGATATGAATGAAAATTCATCTTTATTCTCCGATTTCGACTGATTACCCTTTTTGGATGAAACAAATGAAAACGCATCATCCTCATCTTCATCCATCACATTTTGATGAGATCTTTTAGATGAGGCAAAAGAAAATGCATCATCCTTTACTGTGGATGTTTTCTGAGTTTTACTAGTCTTGTTTGAAAACGAAAAGTCATCATTTTCTTCATCATCATTCTTCCTTGGTTGTTTGTTCGGGGTAGAAGTTGACTCATTGCTGGCGTTTCTCTTTTTTGATGATTGTCGGCTTCCACTAGGGGCAAAAATATCATGGTTAGAAGGAGGTATTTGGATTGGGAATGTCTTTACTGATGACTGTCCAGACGGAGCAAACATATCCAAGGATGGGTTAACTATCTGATTTGCCTTTGGAATATTTTGAGACAGGTTGGATTTTGATTTAGTTAAAGTGTTTTTATTCACATCACTCTGACCGGAAGGAGCAAACATATCTAATGAAGGATTAACAATTGGTCGGTCTTTTGGTTCTTGCTTGTTAGAAGAAGTAGATGGTACATTGGGATTTTGGCCTGTCCTGTGTTCATCTCCTTGAGAACTGAAGAGGTCTTCTGAATTTGCTTTTTTTCTTGGATTGTCATCATCACTTGAATTTTCCAATACTCTGAAACAAATTATTGTGTGAGTCATAAAACAACTTTAAGAACAGTTTTTTTGTTTTTGGATGATGATGAAAAATTAATTATTGTCAAAAATGTTTTTTTTAATCAGAAAGTTAAATAAATCACATAATATATACCCATAAGGTTATATTACCTTAATCACCTTAAATATATGTAACCTCATATATATTATATCACAGTGATTAAGAAAAAACAACATACAACATGAAGTTATCAGCCGGCCATGCACAAGTTGTTTATAAATACAAAAACTTGAAAAAAAGGCGATTAAGGTAATGTAACCTCATATATATTATACTAGCTGTGTGCCCGTTCTACGCACGGGGATCTCATCATAGTCAGTTAAAACCTTCTTATATACTAAAGCACAGCAGTTGGTTTGCATATTTTCAGATATGCTGACAAAACTATTCCTTCGCAAATACAGTATCTGACAGTTTCAAGCCAAAACTAATGCTTCGCAATTAAATGTAACCCGGATCTTGTTGGTCCATATGTTAAATGCAATGATTAAACTAAAAAAAACTGTATCAGCATTCTTGACACATACTTTCTCCCATGAGTTTGTCAACAACCTTTATCATGAGTAAGTGGTGAGAGTAAATATACGGAAATGGGATTTGTACAATTTTGTTCAGAATTCAAAGGACTATAACATAACGGTTAAAGGTATTTAAGGTACTACCTCAAACTCATAATTTAACACTTTATTCGGGTTGACATTTTCATTATCAAGGTGCTCTTGTCCTTTTCGTGAAACACTGAGAAATAAGGACATTAATGCGTTACCAACAGACATACACACAAAAATACAGAACTTAATTAGGGAATTTGCTACGCTTTAAGCATAAAAAAGTACATATAAAATTAGTATTTGAAATCTTTGTTAATGTCATAAAATTTTATCATAACAATTTATATTTGCTATTGCTTGGACCGGAGATGACCCGAAATTCTGTCGAAATGCTATCTGAATCGGTTTGCTATATGAAATGAAGTACAGTAGGCCTACTATAGACGATTTAGATTGGTCATTTATGGTAAAAAATTACCAAAATAGACCACGAACTATTGATACATATACATACAACGTTCAAAGCGTTTGAACAATTCATGATGGTTAGCTGAATAAATGTTTTACTAAAATGCGTTATCGCTTAGCATAAACTAACATTTTGGAATCCAGACAGAAAAAGCAAAAATTATACAGTTAAGACATCAATAAATTGAATAGGCCTACGCCTGTAATAAATAAGGTGCAACACCACTAACTAATTTGTAAATTACTGTGATGTGTTGGTACGTAAAAATGATAGATTACGTATTCTCTAAACAATGATTGCTGGTATATCTATTAACAATATAATGAAATGTGACAAAAATCACACAACGTTGGGTTTTTGGACGTTTGTAATTTTATTTCTTAAGTACCTAGGTAGGCCGTGTATTCTATGGAAAAGTACCAATATCAAGGACCGTTGTCGAAAAGGTTGTTAAAAAAATAATTCTGTAAGAGTACGTACCCAAGAGATGGGCTATGGGCCTATTGGCTGTATGGTCCAGCGATTGCATCACACGGTGAGTAGGAACTATTGACTATATATAGTCAATGGTAGGAACAGAAAGTGACACATTGGAAAATCGAGCTTAGCATAATCCGTAAACCTCTGTTACAATCACCCTCTGCAGTTGTGATTTTTTACTTCACACTTTACACAACCGCCATTGAAGAGCCGTCAATGAGTGGAACCTTGTTTCTAAGCTATTGGTGACGATCATTAGTAAATTTAAGTTTCCCAGCCGTATACAACACTGATTCAATGTCTTCTTTCTGGTTATCAAAACTCCAGAACAATTTTATACACAAAGAATCTCTGGTTCCTGACCTGGATGATGCCTAGTTATTTAATTTACGATTACACTATATTATTCCACTTGCGATTAATTAAATCCTTTATGTAAGAAAAACGTTTTTAATCTCACTTGGATGGGATTTGCCTTCAAAACGTGATCGGAAATGGTTGCGGTGTTTGTAAACAACATTTGTAAACATTTCAGTGACAGCTAGAAAAAATAATCTTGATCCGAACAGCTGTTCGTTATTTCATAGATGATTATGTGATAAAAATTGGACGAAAACTTGACAAAAATCGCACAAAACTGCATTTTTGAACGTCCGTAATTTTAATTACAAAGTAGTGAGGCCATATTTTAATGGCTAAAGACACTCTCGCCAATCCAGTGAATACTTTAAAACGACTTGGGTCTTGATAGGTACTCTCGTTTTCCTGGAGAAGATTGTGTAAAATGCCATCTTGAGTGTTGCAGAAAGACAGAAAGACAGACAGACGGACAGACAGAAATTTAGATGAGACTTGTTTCGGCTTCTTTAATGTATAAAACGTAAAAATAACCTAAAAATTTATGATTCTGAGCAATGTACAGACAAAACTCTAATTTTATTTAAATACATCATAGTGACTCAGAAAAAACAACATACAACATTAGGAAATCACATCATCTTAATTGTTGCAGTAGTTATCTAAATCTACACATACCTTTTTTTACTACTTGATGGAGCAGTCATATCTACAGATGCTTTGGAGCTGGTCGACTCCTGTGAAATTAATGTTTTCATTAATGCAATTACTGGATTTCATCCATTCATCTATTGTTCTTGTTTGCTTATCATATAGATGAGTTAAGAACTGATTATTCGGATAGGAATTTTATTAAATTGATCCATACTTAACACTACTTACCCTATTACAATCCACATTAGGATAGATAAAACTTACAGATAGGTAGGCAAGTTAACTAATTACCTACTGGCACTGAAGAATTCTGAAAATTACCACCAAGTCCACCATTAGAACGCAGAAGACGATTACAGTCACCAATGTCATCGATATCGCAAGATATGTTCACGGGTATTGCCGTAATTGTAGGAGACGATGATCAGTGTCTGTGTCGCCAAGATAGAAGGATATCTACACAGGTGCTGCCATGATTGCAAGAGACGATAACCAGTGTTATCAAGATTGCAAGTTATGCTCCTCCCGTTATCTGACCTTTTGACCGTTCTGACCATGCCCCGGTCCCATCATGGTGGGATATGAGGGATTTTACTAGTACTGTATGATTTTCATGAGAAAATTGCAACAGATGGAATAACTTTTGAACCGTAATATGTACATCACCTCAGAGTTAGCGCAGATAGTGGTGATCTGCTGAGTGTTCTGAGATGAGTCGCCAAACAGTGACTGAGGGTTGTGCCTAGGGTTACAGTGATGATCCAGACTACAATACAGGATGCTGAGACCGATCTCCGATTCCGGTATACACCTGACTCCCTCTGCCTTCAGCTGACCTGTGAATGTACATGCACATTAACTTTTCCAATTAAAATTTGCCATTCCAATTACATTTTCAAGTGTAGTATGAGAAAGAAAAACAGGCCAGATGGTACAAAACTGCACCCCCAGCTGTCCTTGAACATTGGGTGTAGAGATGGGCCGAGTCCTGAATTGGTCGATTCCGATACCGATTCTACAACTTTGGTTTCGATTCTCGATTCCGCACTCGATACCGATACCTGTTAAAAATTCATTTAATAACACACATAACTTATAAACTTATGATATCACTTTATTTAATCTTTATACAATAAGATAACTGCATTGTATTGATTAAGGTTACATAGATTAGGTTAGCCAAAAAGGAAAAATAAGATAGGGCTATTTAAAGAAGACATGAATTTTAACATATTTTATTAAATTAATAATTAATTGATAATAATAATTAATTGAGCACAATCACTAATTTAGGTAGACCTAAAATGTTCAGAGTTTTTTTGTTTTTTTTTTCATAAGAATTCATAATTCGTACATCTAGGCCTACAATGAATGTTCCATGTTGCTTGAGTTATAAACCCAAAGTCATCTTCAATATTGTCATCATCAATATCACTTAAATTACTTAACGAATCATATAAAAAAGTCATGGAGATCATCACATCACGAGAACGGAGTGGAGATCATATCCATTTTGAACAACTCAAACTCACTATGCACGCACAGAAAACAAACAACAATACCCCCGTCGCAGCAAACCTGCAGACTTAGCGAATTTCCATCTGCCTGATTGGATTTAAACTAAAATGTCCCCTAAAAAATATCACATTTATTCCCTATTTAAACAGAATTAATTTAATGAGTACTTAGGTTTCCTGCAACAGGGAGGGTAAAAAAGTTTTTTTAATGTAAAATATTAAAAGGTACTGTGGTTTAGTAAGAAATTAATGTATTTTCCAAATTTGATCAAAATATGTTCATAAACAAGCAAACTACAACAGTTGACTTATTCTCCATAAGAATAACATGGGAATTTTAAAATAACAATTTTTTTGAATTTTCTCCGTAACAATTAGGCGCATAATAACGCTTCAATATACTAAATTATTTGTTTTTTTAAGCTCTACAAAATGGTTTAAAAATAAATTGTGAAATTTTGTGTTTTTAGGGTCAAAAATGGGAAAAACCTATTTTTACCCCATAAAACCCCCCATAAACCCCCGTTCCCATAGTCCGATCATGCTGGTTCGCGAACTCATTCAAGTTTATCCCGCCTTACACCTTTAAACCAAATTTTATCAAAATCGGACAAAAATTACTCAAGTTATCGTGCGGATGGACACAATATATATATATATATATCTATATATAGATATATAAAAATTTGAACGAATGGTGTTTTTTGCCTCTGGGGACATCAAAATGAAAAAGTAAATCGGTCCCGGGCTTAGGTCTTACCATGAGACCTACGGTAATAGCTACTTCCCTATAGGGAAATTCGCTAAAAAACCAAAACATAGGTTAAACAATTCATTTGCCATTTGCAAACTCATGACAGCTGTTTCAGTTCAGTCATAGAGAAACAACATAAAAAAAACGATAAAAATACATCGCTACATGGCTTTCTACAATAGTCACCATGAAGCCCTGAATTAGCTGAACAGTTCGTGGGGTCTCATATCTTATAATGTCATAGCTTATAATCGTGAATTTGTTCCATAGCTTATAATCAGTTATAAGCTATGCCACACTTTCACAAAAAATTATAAGCTATGCCACAATTTGGAGTTAGAAAATGTGAGTTAAACCATTGACTATATACACCTTATGTGTATTATATGTATACAGGGTGAGTTTTAAATGTCCCCCCCAACTTTTTTCTACATTTTTTTCAAATATCAATCCCAGACCACTTCCAAACATTGTTGGGTAGTAAGTACTTCATTTTGACAAGGTGGTCATTTCTGGCCATCTTGGATCCGCCATATTGGATGCAAAATATTATTTTCAAATGTAAAGGTGGGGTTGTGACCCATTATTTTGAACTAGATTTTTACCCTGATTACAATGCCACAAACCGTTTCAAAAATCTTGATTCATTCCAAAGTTATGAGGGCTTTTTAAAACTTTATTTTTAGCCCATTTTAACATTGTGCATTTACAAACTAAGGACCATAATCTCAAAATAGTGCTAGATAAAGATAAATATACACTAACAGTCATTGTCGACTTATTTTCACTTGGTTATGACTGATGTAATTTTTTCGGCCGCCATCTTGGATCCGCCATTTTGAAACATGATAAACTATTTTAAATATGAAGGGGGTGTTGTGGCCCATCATTTCGGATTACTTTTTTAAGCTGAACTCAATTACATGATCCGTTTTTTCATTTTCATATTTTGATTTTGAAATATTTAAATTTTTAACAAAAAAAAATGCAATATCTCATAAATAAAACTTGATAACAAAAAACTGATTGCAACATAGGGTTTAGCTTAAAAAAGTAGTTCGAAATGATGGGTCACAACACACCCTTCATATTTAAAATAATATATCACATTTCAAAATGAGGAATCCAAGATGGCGGCCGAAAAAAATACATCAGTCGTAACAAAGAGAAAATATGTTGACAATGACTGGTAGTGTATACTTATCTTCATCTAGCACTATTTTGAGATTATGGTCTTAGTTTGTAAATGCACAATGTTAAAATGGGCTGAAAATAAAGTTTTAAAAAGCCCTCATAACTTTTGAATGAATCAAGATTTTTTAAAACAGTTTGTGGCATTGTAATCAGGGTAAAAATCTAATTTGAAATAATGGGTTACAACCCCACCTTTACTTTTGAAAAAAAAATATTTTGCATCCAATATGGCGGATCCAAGATGGCGGCCTAAAATGACCACCTTGTCAAAATGAAGTACTTACTACCCAACAATGTTTTGAAGTGGTCTGGGATTGATATTTAAAAAAATGTAGAAAAACGTTGGGTGGGGGACAATTAAAACTCACCCTGTATATTAAATGCTTGTACCATCTGGCAACATTGCCTTTGATCTGACAACATGGCGGCAACTAGAGTTCTGTTAGGCCTAGTTGTCTTGTCACTGTTGTCAACTGAACACAGCTGGTCATACCCATTGCTACTCGTTCTGAAATGCAATGGCAATCTATTTTGGATTATAAAACTATTACGAATGTGAGATAATGAACTTGGAATTATTTATATTAGCTGACTTCAGAGTATTTCAAATAAACTATGATGTGCCACTCTTTACAACCTTCAATGTCAGTTGAGTTTAGCATTATTAATTAACCTTACTTTTCAGAATCGGTATCAAGCGAAGTATAGAGTATCAGCGATTCTTGGTATCGAAGGGATCGAGGTATCGAGAATCGGAATCGGCCCATCCCTAATTGGGTGTTTTGATTGGCCTTGGCTAATGAAACAGCTGATCATAGTACGCTACACATGGCAATCTGCTCTATCCTACCTTTGACTTTGGGATACTGAAGTAGACTTGAAATGTTTATGGACCAGCCTGTAGCCAATTATTTTTATAAAAAAAGATTATCATTATAACTTTTTTATAATTAAAAGATTATCATTATAACTTTTTTATAATGATTATAACTTTTTATAACATTATAACTTAATATAATAACATATCTTCAAGCCACAATTACTTTTGTTCATCAGTCAAGTTCTTGACAAATTTTGCAGCAACTCTGCGCATAGCCAAATCTTCCATTTAAATTGAAAGAACTGAACCAAAACTGATTCCAACTTAATACGTCGATCCTCCATCACTAAAACTCAAACTTAATTGATAACTTCATTGATTCAACTTGATGATGGTCTCCCAGAATGAGGTTCACTGTTTACGAATGTGTCTTTAAATCTGTTGTACTACTCTGTGTTACACCCATATAGTGTCTTCTAAAGGCTTTCTGAATCTTAAGAATCGTTTGAGCTTGGCAAAATTGAATGCAGTATCGCTGTTCCACCCTTTCTGTCATTTTGCTTACCACAAAAAAATTACAAACACTAAGTATACACAATTTCACATTTGGCGGCCGACAACAAACTGATGCCATGTCAAGGTCACAAGACGTGCTTTACAGTTGCCTCAATGTACACACAGGGGTGCAGCTCAATGCAGTTGTTGTATTACTAGATAAAAAATAAGGTCAGATACTTTTTGAACAGTCCTAATTTTTTTTTTTTATTACATATGAAATAGTATATATAGATTAGTAGCCTATACATATGATACTCCTTTATTCAAAATGGCGGGGTTATACAGTTTCTCTTTTTGAACGCATTGCACCCTCAATAATTGATTGATAAAACCTGTGGTTGAGAGCACAAGTATTGATTTGTTTCTTAATAATTAATTATAGCAACAGTGTTTTACTTTCTTGGTTACCAGTAAATTTTTATGTTATTTGTGATGATAGTTTCAAGAAATTTTTTTGTTGGGTCCTAGGACGCTGAAGCTAGGCTGAAGTCAGGGATTGTTTTTCACATTACTTCGGGATAGACCTAGGGGTTGCGGCATTATCACATAGATAAAATTATAAAATCCATTGGTGATTTGGCGGGATTTGAACCCGGGACCTCAGGTACCAAAGTCCTGCGCTCTAACCACTAGAGCAGCTTGATCCCCAGTTTAAAGGGAAAGTGTGTATTTAACATGTGAAAGTATCAAGACTCGGTTTTCAACTTACGAGCAGCATTCATATATCCATCAGCAACTTGAGATTGCTGAGAGCCTTGCCTGCCTGTGGTGAGTTGCATCAGAACAGTTCTGGCCTGCATCAGCTTTCTTTGAGGCCAAGACTCAGCTGAGAACTCGACCACATTACCACCTGAAACACAATCTACTATTTAGTTTCCAAATAAACTCATATAGTAAAACCTGTAAAGTTGAGGGGAAGTCGCAAATGTGACATACAAACAAAGTATAACTTAATATCACAATTAATTGGCTTGAAAAAGTAGAACTATAGCCTGATGGATCCACTGTAGCCTAGATGCACCACAAAATGCCTCAATATTTTCAAAGCGTGTTAACTAACAATCTTTGGGTCTGTACAGAGTTTTAAAAATGAGCTGAAGTGAAAGTCTTTTATTATGTGTGTAAGAGTGTTTGTTTTATGACAAATATTTTTTCTGTGATCTAATTGTTAACAAACTTTTTTAAATGAAGTGTATATTTTGACTCCTTGAGGGCTTGAAGAGGTTTCTACTTAAGACTAAGACTAATTAGTTGGCACTACAGCATCTTTTTTGAAAATAATAATTTGGCCTACTCACCAGCTGCGGTTATCATGGGTTTTATCCGGTTTAGTTGTCTAGCTGAAGTTGCAACAAAAGTATACCCTTTGAACAGCTTAGCTCGCTCAGGGTTGGGGGTGAAGGACACTTCTGAAGGATTCAACAATGTTTCCACCAGTGGAGGCACAAAGTCCTTGTAGTCTGGCAGACTTGCATCAGCAGCTGCCAAAGCATCATTGAGGGCTTTCCAGTACGCCGGAATGACAATAGGCTTTCCACAAGCCAAAGCACAAACAACCTAAACAGAGCATGAGATATGGTATCTTAATATATAAAGTTCTTTAGACACTACAAGGATGTACCAATACTATAAGAAAGATACCTACACGGATCTACTTGTACAAAAATCATAGTTTGTTAAAATAAAAAAATAGTAACAGAAAAAAATGTATTGCCTTTGAAAAATATTACTATACAAAAATATTACTTTTTGTTGGTGAGTCTGTGGCCCAGTTATAAAAAAGTCATGTTTTGGGTTCCCACATGCCTGTACCATAACTCATATTATTTAGGCCCATCAGTAGGTCTACAGTTTGTTTTTGTACTAGGAACCTACAATGGCTCGCCCCTTACTTTGCTTGATAGGTTTCTCACGATGGTCAGAGGCCCAGATAGAAGTTTAAATCCAAAGTTGAAGCTGCAAACTTAAAAAAATATATAAACAAATCCCAAATGAATTTGCAACATATAAGTTAAATTTACTAGAAAGCTTTGCAACCGTGCTGCTGTTCTATGAAACATCATGATTTAAAGTTGTTTCTCCTTGAAATCAGATAATCGTAATGCATAATCAAGACTATAATGTGCCTAGAGATTTAGCCACGTAAAATCAGCAATACTCAAGGGGCATTCTATGATGAAAATTGTTAATAACTTGCTTAATACTCACATACCTTTACAGTCATGGTTAACTTGTTCATGGTGAGATGGGTGCAGCTGTCCTGCCAATCTTTAGCCACTTCACCACTCAATGATTCCACAAAATTCTGCACTTCAGCCTTCTCATCTGCGTTTAGGGTTGATGTTGCTACGATCAGCGGAAAATACTCGACACTGAACATTAAAATAATTGATCAATACACAATTTAGCATAATAACCACTAAGAGTCACCAGAGTTTCTGGCTTTACTACCACTACACTGCTACACTAAGTAAAAGTGTTAACATGCAAATACTTTGAAATGAAAATGTTAGAGGATGAAATTAAGCGTCACAATATGTGAACTCAAGATTTTTTTAATTATAAGTAGTGAAGTTGTAATACTGTGTTTTAAATAAGTTTTTAACTAAGTTTTATTAGGAGAGGAAACACACTTCTTGTCAGTGTACTCTCTCTCTTACTATCTTCTATATGTATAAAATATTAATACAGGGTCAGGGTGAGTGTACAATGTAGGCCTGATGAGATGCCTAGTGTAGTCTCTTCTATGCTATGACCAGTTGTTTCTTTAGCCAATCGTAGCCAGATATAGTTTCAATCAAACCATTAAAATGCATTTTCTTTTATCAACATTACTAAACTGGCTACAGCAACATTAGATAAGGGTTTTGCAAAACCTTTCAGTTATAATACATGTAGTTGTGTCTCATTTGGTCACAGTGGCGGATCTAGAACTATCCTAAGGGGGGGGCTAACCGGGGGGTCTGGGGGGTATGGAATACCCCCCAGCAAGAAGGGGGGTTTCGGGGGTCCTCCCCCGAAAAAATTTTTGAAATTTAAGTGTCCAAAATGGCAGTTTTAGACTAATTCTTTGTCCAAAGTTTAGTAAAAAAAATATTAAAATCGACATCAACTTCTATTGAGAATAGAATTTTTGCCAAACTAGTAAACTTTTGTATTACTATTATTGTCATGATTATTTAATGGAATAATTTTATAACGTGAATGCAAATGCAAACACTAACCTTAAAATTCTTGTTCGTTTTTGAATCACTGTTGATTACTAGATTTTGCACAGCCATTGATTATTGCCTTTGTTTTCTCTTAAAATACTACAGTCGTGGGTATCGGCATCGCTTTGAACTAAAATAATGTAGATGTATTAAAGAAGCGAGCAAACCATATGTTTGTATTTTTAAGCATCATTTTGACAGTTTAGTTGTCTGCTCGATTTGTATTCAGCGTTGAATGTTCGTTCGTGGTGATGTTCCTCCATTACAGTGAGCTGAAACCCTACTACACTGCACCGATTTGAGACACCTAAAAAGCTCATTTCGGCATTACAGGCTTTCAAACAACACAAAAGTCATAAAAGTTTATCCAGTTTCAGTAGCTTAGCCATAATCTTCTTAACAAAGATTGCCTCATATTTTTTAAAATATAGCCTTTAGATAAATTGCTCCCCCAATTAACACAAACACATACACACATTTGTTACGTTCGTTAAATAGTTAAATTTAACATTAAACTTTTTCAAATATAAACACTGTGATCAGTAATCGGTGCTATGAATACAAAATGAAAGACTTAAACTGAAAATCGGTTTTATTAAACATCAGATACATAGAAATAGTTTACTTAATCCTCTTCCCAATTTTCCAGGCTCATGCGTCTGTTCTTAGATCTGCTGAAGAGGTTTATAATTTCATCTACTGGCACCTCCCTTTCTTTTGATATGTTTGCTAGCGCCAGCCCGTTCAAACGTACTTCTCCCATAGTACTTCTCAAGTAGCTCTTCAACCTGAACACAAACAAAACCAATAGACATTCATTAGAGTAGGAAAAATAATAGACCATTCGGTCCGTTCATCCTGCATTCCTCTTTTACAAACTACAACAAAAGTAATTTTGATTAATTTTATTTTACAAACAAGGAAAATAAACCAATTCCAATATATTTTATGTTTATATTACGGAACTGATATTAGATAATATTTCTCTTGGAAATGTTGAACATTCAATATATTACAGGTTTTGAAAGCTTAAAAATATGTGAAATAAAAATCAAATCAAAGTATAATTTCATTGGATTAATTATTTTGAAAACCAAACAGTATTTAAGTGAATCACCATTTTTAATTATATAGTTACCTCTTTAAAGTTGAAAATGAGCGTTCAGCTGTGGCGGTTGTAACCGGGATCGTCCCCAAGACTTGAAGGAGGGTGCTGATCATTGGGAAAAAAGAATAGTCCAGTTCTTTGATTGCGTCAATCACTGTGTCGGGGGGGTTGCATGCATTTCTCCACTTATTCCTCCACATCTTTATTTCTGCTGTCAGCAAGCTAAAACTCCCTATCTGGTCCGTAAAAATTTGGTATTTTTCAGCAGCTGAAACAATTGTATCGTCTGTAAACCTCTCAAGGTTTGCCGGAATAAGGCCTTCGAGAGGAAGGACCCCACAAAAATCTCTGTTGAACCTCTTATCAATCTCGGATATGAAATGGTCCACGAGAGGTAGGAATATTGTTCTTCTGAAGTATTCTTCGGCATTTTCAGATGGAGTGTTGCTTCGATTCTGTTGTCGTCTGCAGGTTCTCGGCGTTGAAATGTCAAACCCAAGTTCATCGGCAAGTTGAACAGCGTTTTCATACAGGCTATTAAACTCGAGATCAGCTTCTCGTCGAATGTTTCTAAAGTTCTCCAAAATGTCTGTTACACTTACTAAAGCTGATGAGAGGTCTTGCTTGGGGCTTTGCAGGCGTTGGCTTAGCCTTAGAGTAAGTCCAAGGCAGTACACCGCTACTTCGAGACCAACGATGAATTCGCTTTTTTTAATTGCACAAGACAGCATATATGCTTTCGATGATATTTCAGGCGTTTTACTGTCACTCAAGGTTTCTAGGACTGTCACAACAGGAATAATCAGTTCTTTAAAGGTAATGAGGCTCTCATGCCTCTCAACCCACCTCGTCGGACACAGTGCCTTTAGTCTTTGCTTTTTTGAATCTGTAAAATTAGTCTTCCCTATCTCATCAATTAGAGCATTCATTCGATTAGCAGAGGCTGACAAAAATGTTGACACAGTTCCAACAGTTCCAATGGCATTCCTTATTTCTGGAATGTCACAACATTTTGTGATACACAGGTTCAAGGAGTGGCTGAAACAGTGTGTGTAAATGGCTAGTGGTTGTTGTTGTGAAATTAATGCTTGCACGCCATGTAAATGTCCTGCCATATTTGCCCCACCATCATAGCCTTGGCCACACAGGTAATCGTAAGACAAGCCAAGCTTTGACATTTCTTGGTCTATAGTTGACTTTATTGACACACTTGTAGTCGATTTTAGCTCTACAAAACCAAGGAACTCTTCTTTTACCTTACGGTCTTCCATGTCGATATAACGGACACAAAACGTAAGCTGTTCTTTTCTACTGGCATCGGTGGTTTCGTCACATAAAATCGAAAAATACTTGGCCTTTTGTACACTTTCTACTATTTTGGATTGTAAATGTTTTCCAATACACTCTATAATCTCATTTTGAATGGGTTTGCTTATGAGTGTACTGTTTTTCCTACACGTAGAAAGATGCGACTTTAGGTCTTCGTCACCTGCATCAATCCGAAATGACAGGAGGCTTTTGAATACGCCATATCTTCCTTGAAGAGCCATTTCTCGTTCATCTTCTGAGAGTTTTCCGTCATCTCTGTGGCCTCTGAGGGGTAGGTTGTTTTGGGCACAAAAGAGGATTGTCTTCACTATGGGTTTCAGCCTTCGTCGGTTTTGCTCAATAATGTTGGCTTTTTTCTTGTCCATCATATGACCGACATGTTTGGTAGGTAAGCCAGCAGTTTCGGACGACTCTTTGAAATTTAGAGCTTTCTCTTTTGCAAACTGATGATACTTAGTAGATTCGTGGCATTTGATCTCTTCTGTTGCCTTCTTAAATTTATTTAACGGCACTTTCACAAATGTTTTAAGAACCTGAAACAAAACGTGAACTTTACTTGTTTTTATAAAAAATTATGTTGCATTATTTTTTTACGTCTTAAACAGTCAAATTACTTGACCGTTTTCAAGTCGAGGACAAAAAATAATTCCTATGCCTTTAATTTTTTTTTTTCAAAACGAGAATCTTAAGGGTGTCAACAATATTAAATTAGTGTTCTATATTTTACAAAACCACTTAATTTTATTATTTAGTAAAAAATTAACTTCAGCAGCTCTTTCATTATAGAAGTTACAGTAACAAACAGATTTAATACAATTATAGATTTAATTAATTTGATTTAATACAATTATTTGTATTAAACATTACCGTACTTATAATTTTTTTTTTACGTAAACATGAAATTATTGCCCAAGTTAATGCTTTTTATTTATACGAATAATTTAATAAATGTCCCGTTTCGGCCTTGTATTTCGAAACACTTGCAAAACTTTTAAACTAAAAAATGTTAACGAAAAGAATACTTTATCAAGTATAGAGACATGGCTTACCTGACTTCCTATTCCCGCTTCAGCAGGAGCAAAAAGAACACAAATTTTGCAAAATCCTCCAGGTAAGCATTCACTGTATGCAAGCCAGTCGTGTTGGTCTAACCATTCTCTTCTGAATTTTCGAGTTTGCTTGCCTTCAACTTTAGTTGGAAAATTATATTTAACTGGAGGTACCCAAGTCTGAGTCAAAAATTGTAGCTTTTCGTTGTCATCTAGAATTTTCCCAACAGCCAGACCAATATCATTTGATTTATATGTTCCACCACAAGTGGTTGATATACCAGGTGGACCCTAAAATAAAATACATTTTGTTATGGCCACTGTTAGTTACCGATGATGGTAGAGTCACATACCCATATTGGCCACACCTTACCCGCTAGTTTAAGCCATCAAATAAAACTGATACTTCAACAGTCACCATAAAAAAATGTTCCTTGTGAAATTGGGGCATAGGTTAGGTAATCTATGTGTAATCAAATTTTAAACAGGAAAATGGACGAACTTGGAGGCCTAGGTATAAATCCCAAAGAAACATTTCTAAGGTAAATTATTTTTTTATCACGAGGATATAAACACAACAGAAATTACGAAAACATTTTGTTAAAATCAATAAATAATAAGTTGGGTTTTATAACTTAATGCAAGACGTAAAACAACGATGTAATAGTAGATCTAAACGCGTCCCGTCGATGAATTCATCTCCATTCATACTTGGCTTAAAATACCTACTTTGTATCGTCACCATTTAATAAGAAAGTATTAAAGAATTGTTTATGTTGGTAGGCCCCGGCCCGAGGCTGGGAAATAAATTTTCCTTTTATGAACGCAAGTTCTGAGCGATTCGTGTCCTGTAAGAATTATTAAATTTTCATATATCAGACATAGGCTATTTCTAAAAATAATGCAAAACCTTTTACTTGACGGTATTTGCTGAGAAAATAGTCTCTGAGTGTCTACTCCATCTCCTTACCTCGAGCGTGACGTTACTAAAAAGCATACACTACCGCTTAATGTTAGCCTATACTTACCATATCATGAGAAATCCCCATCTCGCCTCTATTGAAAGTCTCACTTTTATTTGACTCATCATCCAAACGGCGATGCTTCTTGGAGAATTCATTACTTTGATCACTAACTGTAGTATTATCACTGACTGTGCTTTTATTCACTTCGCAACTTGCTTCACCAGCAACAGAAACAGTACTATTTACCTTCTTACTGAAATAATCCGTAAGTCTACGCTTCATTTCTAATAGAAATACAAAACTAGTCAAATTAATTTCACCCTCATGAACACTGACGCCACTTTAAAACGCTCCCGCACAACAACAAACTACTGCGTGGCAGTAGGAAGTAAGACTAGGACACTGGACGGGCACTACTGGAGCGTGGACACTGACAATGGGAATGGCTATCTTCGAGCGTACGTGCCAAAACTATGATTCTATGACTCATAGTCATAGCGCGGAACGGTCCAACTTAACCGGTGGCGGGGGAGGAAAGTGTGCTGGAGGCGCATCCCTTCCCTTCGGCTTATTTCGGGCACAGACGGCCAGAAGTTTCGAACCGTACAAGCGCTGTTCTGTTGCAGTCTTAAAGGTCTGTCCAGTTTAAAACAAGCAGTAGATTAATTAATTGTAATGCACTGTCGTTACATGAAATTAGATTAAACACGCTCATAAATTATTTTCTTTATATTTCAAGCACCTGCAAGTCTCATGGTAAATTGTTGGTTTAACTAGGAATTTTTCCGTTTTATACAGTGTAAGTTTAGACCCGAAGGGGGGGGCTATAGCCCCCTTAGCCCCCCCCATAGATCCGCCACTGTTTGGTCAGTTTTTAACCAAGTAACCAAGAATCAAAGTTCCTCTTATATTTTTAATGTTGTTACCACTTAGTAGATAAAAATTTTAAGATAGGCTCCATTAAAAGTACAGTATTTATGATGAGGGTAAAAAGAGGGAAAACTGAAGAAAATTTATAATCACAATTACCAGAATTATTTTGTTAAAAAGAACTTATGAATGGGAAAGTGTCAATGTCAGTTTGGTAGATAAGCAAGAATAAAGATACCGGTAATTGATCATAGAGTCCAATTATGTACTACATAGGCTACGATCCCGCTAATCCATCACCTATAGGACCAGGACAGTGAAAGGATTGGATTATCTGCGAAGCAGCATGTTTAGGATTTTCCCATGATCGCACAAGATGAAGATGATGTTTCCATTGCCGCAGTAGATATTGAGAATTTCGCCACAATCGTGGAAGGCAATAGGACTTTAATGGTTTTTCCGTTACAGCAGAAGATTTTTAAGGTTTTGAAATATATTCACACAAAGATCATACTGTGACCGCAGGAGGCGTTAAATATTTTGCCTCAATTGCCGAAGACAATGATTTTTTTCATGACCGGGGAATCTGTCCAAGATATTCCAAAACTCCCAATCTACGATAAAAATGTTTCCGTTCCACAGCACATGTCCTAAATTTGGCCGCAATTTGGGGGATTAATTAATTACACCGCATAAGTCACACACCACACAGGTCGCATAAGAAAACGATGATGTTTAATGATTTTGATTGCTGAACACATTCATGATTTTACAGTGATTGCAGGAGATGATGTCCACATGGCCATGGGAAATAGTCACAATACCATTGTAAACGATATGGGATGGCACAGCCTGATTAAGCAAGGAGTTGGAAATAGTTGAGGATGGATTAAAGGGGTTCTAATATACTACATTACATACCTCCAGACATTCCATTGGATGCCAAATCGAATCAAGTCTCCATTGTTTAAGGTGATGGGTTCATTTGGAGAAATTTGGGTCATCTCTCCTCCCCCACAAGCTTTAAAAGTCCCATATTTGGATCCCAAGTCTTTCAAAAGTATTCCAGCACATTTGTTTTCCTAAATCAAAATGTAAAACTTACATTTTTACATTATGTTTTATGCATCTAACTAATATTTGTGATAACATGCTCTTGACAAGGGTAGGCTAGAATAAATAAGTGTTAACAAAAAGTAAAATCTTTTAAACTGAACTGAAATAGTTTGCACCCAGAGGTTAGGGATGCTTGATCATTGCAACCCCACTGACTTTATTCTTCGTAGCTTACAGTTTAGTTTGGTCGTTTGATCACTGGTTAGGAAAATTTAACGTTAACTTAGTTTGGAATGATACAATAAGGTCGAGCAAGATGGTTGAAAAGCACTTTGAACCATGTTTACCTTCTAATGTAGGCTTTCGTGGCCGGTGTCATAAGAGTTCATGGTGTTTTCCGACGTCAGCCGCGTTGTCACTACTACACTATCGCCAGACGTTTCGCCCTTACTGTGAAGTGGCATCCTCAGTAGCTAGGCTGAGACTCTCTAGTGTAGTAGTGACGACGCGGTTGAGGGTGAAAAACACTATGAGCTCTCATGTTTACATTACTTAACCAGACCAAATATTGCCAATGAAATTAGTTCAGTGGATTGAGATACTGTAATTGAAAAGTATGAGCATGAAATGCTGAATAGAGATTATTCTTTAAGGTTCATGAAATATCTCAACATATTATAGCTGCTATGTTTCATCAATCACAGGCTATTTCTTATTATATTTCATTTCTAGTATAATATTTCAATTCTAGGAAATTGGCACAGAGCAATTCCCTTTGCTATCTGATTATTCATGTTATTATGTAGTTTGCTCATGGGAATAATCAAGATGAATACATAAAAATACATTGGCTAATACATAACTAGCCCTCCAGGGATGGGGAACAAATTCTTCTAATCCACAAAATAGGTAGCCTAGGTTTTTTTCCAAGAGGTTGGCCGCCTCTTTTAACCTTGCATTTGCCTGTTCACATAGACTATTTGCCCGTGCGTGGAACGTAACCAGCAAAGTAAGGGGTTAGCCGGTACAATACAAAGGTGAACTGTACTGATAAAATGTTTGTGACAGTGACCAGTTTGCCATAACTTTGCCTGTATTAAATAATTTTAATTTAATTTCATTTACATTGTAATTATTGGGATACACAATTAACATTACACATTTGTTGAAAATGATTAGGACTAACTGCAGAAAAACATTTAAATTTAACATAACTGTAAGAAAGGTTCAACACCAACCTAAGATGTTAGTAGTAATGTGTTAGTGTTGTAAAAAGTAATTCTCAAACAAAGTACCACTGCTTCTTACAAAAATTACCAGTAGGCTACCAAGAATCGTCGTCGAAATTGGGTGATGGATAATTGGGAAGGCCTACGTACCAATAGGAGATGGACCATAGTAGGCCTATTCACGGTATGGTCCATCAATGGCAGCACAATAGCGGTGAGTCAAAACCAAAAGTGACACATTCGAAAAGCAAAAGGTTAGTAGCATCCGTAAACCTCTGTTACGATCAAAACTAAACGATCTGATATGATCTTCCAAGATCGCAGCAACATCCACGATCATCCACTGCAGTTGTGATTTTTTACTTACATAACAGTCATCGAAACACCGTTAATGAGTGAAAACTCGATTGTAGGCCATTGGCAACAAAGATAAAAAAATGTCAGTTTCCCAGTCATATACAACACTGTCATAGTCTTTTTCCGGTTATCCAAACTCAAGTTTACAATTTTGTACGCACATAACATCTGGCTGTCGACTTGTATGATGCCTAGTTATTTAATTTAATTTACAGTTAGGCCACGTCAATCACACATTATTGTTCTTGCGATCAATTTAACCCGTAAGATAACTTAAGTCATAAGGTTATTAATCTCACTTGGTTTTGGATTTGCTTACCCAAACAGCTGTTGTTATTTCATTGATGACGTATTCCCTAAACAGATGATTCTAGGCTTAGTAGCCTATTTCATAAATGACGTAGCCTATGAAGTAAACATTGGGACAAAACGTGACCAAAATAGCACTAAAATTTGACTTTTAACGTCCGTTTCATTTCCAAAGTAGTGATGCCATTATTTTAATGGCTAAAGGCACTCTTGCCAATCCAGTGAATACATTATTTCTTGGAGTAGGCCGCCTAAGGTGACAGAAATTGATATGAGAATTCTTTCGGCTATCGTATCTTAGGGTATAAATACCGTAAAATAACAAAAATCTCTACCATTCTAACACTTTATGGATCAATCCCTCCTTGAGAAGTAGGCCTATCCTCTGGGTTGAACGATGGCCTACTTTCTCCAAGAGAAAAAAAGAGATGAAAGTATTTTAGGTATTCAGATATGGTATGATTACCGTACTTACTTGAAGCACGATAACTTGTGCATGTTTGCGGCTGATTGATTGATCTCCAAGAAGTAACAGGTCTCCATCTTTTCTGCTGATAATATTTTGCTTTCCAGGCTGAATTCTATAAACCAAACCTGAAATAGTGTTTTAAAACAAAACGTTAGTCACATTGGGTAGTCTACATGTTTATGGTGTAAACATGTACAGTACTTTCAATGAGGTATTTCAGATCAGGTGTCCAGGCTGATGTCTTGACTGTAGTAGGCCTACTTAAACCAGCTTTTAGCCAACATTAAGAATCTCCCATTGGGCATTTTTCATTATCATTTACATAACCAAAACCATGAAAGGAGGGCTAAAATGCCTACCATATTAAGTAAATGTGCTGTGATATAAATAAACTAGGTAGGCTAAGTTTTGGGTACTAAGTTACTAGGATCACTCTTGACTCTTGAGGAATCAATTTATCAATCATCATTTATTTGAGACTGTGGGGATGCCCCCTAGGTGCATATTTTAACCTAAATATAAGTGAAGGATGAGGTGTAGAATGTTGTGTGAAGATATTTGGAGCTTTGTTACAGACTAGTAGTATAGGCTACAGTATATCAGCTTCTGGTTATCCCAATAAAAGGCAAAGCTCTTACGGACTGACTCGCTCATCACTAATTCTCCTATACTTCCTATACCTAGGTCACTGAAATTTGATAAACTGATTTTTTAGACATTAGGCTAATTAAAAAGGAAAACGTAAACATGACCTTCGGGTTCCGTCCCGGTTGCTCTGGAGTTTCCCATGTTAACCTTAAGTACGAGTACCGGTATTCAAAAGGAATCTTAACAGCTTTTTCAACTAAACAAGTTTGTTCTATAGTTCTATGATGTTTATCTATTCTATGTTGTATAGTCTATCAACAAGTTTTTCTCCCTCCAGATCCATCCTTTTGTTAGGCTATATAGTTTTGTTTTATGTTACGTTAGCTCTTTCACAGTTTATTATATTGTTATCATTGCCATAGTCTATTATTGTTATGTATAGTAAATTTATTAATGTTAATTATCCACAATGTTGTCATTTTGATGGTTACTGATTGTTATTGATGTTAAATAAGTTATTCACACTTATTGTTATTGTAGTTAATTATTTACACTGTTTCTTGTTATTGTTATTGATGTTTATTATTCACAATTTTTCTTGTTATTGTTATTGATGTTAATTATTTACACTGTTTCTTGTTATTGTTACTTTTTTCACAATGTTGTAACTGTTGCAATTCACTCAAACTGTCCACCACCACCACCAAACTTCTTACTCATTTATTGATGTTTTCTATTGTATTATCTTGTTGTATGTAAATCTTGTCTAATATATTATTTTGTAAAATGGCGATTGCCGTCGGAATGAATAAATGAATAAATAAATGAATGTTCAATAGCAGTAAGGTCTAAAAACAGGGTGCAGCACTAGGCCTATTATTTTTAGGGAATTTCCTATGTAGGGAATAAGTTAAGCTATTACCGTAGGCCTCATTGCAGGACCTGGACCTCGACACGGGACCGATTTATTTTTTTGTTTTGAGGTCCCCAGAGGCCAAAAACACCATCCCTTCAAATTCATAAAAGTATATTTAAATATACTGGGTGTGCCACATAAGTTAGGGTGTCTTCAAACTGATTACGGAAAAACGGCTTAGCATGCAAGGATGAAATAAAATTATTTTAGGCTACCTACCTAGGGCCTATGACTTACCTTTGTTATCATTTCGTAGAAGCCACATGATGGGACTATAGTTGTCGTAGGTACCGGTACTCAGCAAGGGCTTAAAATATTTTCGATTGATGACAATTTTATTTAACTAACCAGGCCTAGTCTGGCAAGAAATTTAGCCTCGGTAAGTTAAAACATTATAAGTTAACCTCACAAATTAGGCTATATAATGTGAATAACAAACTTGGACAATGGTAGAATATCGTGTTGATTTAAACCTACTGCTTGAAGAGAATGATTATGACCCTTTACCTTATTTACCCTTCTTTCTGTTAGAACTCAAACGTCTGAGACTGCAGTAGCGTAGGCCTACTATAATAAGTTAGAAGTTTAGACCAAGGAGCACATCACAGCACAACACAAAGCACAACCATGGCCCAAATAACTAAGTTAACTTAACTTATCCTCTAATGTGATTTAATAAGGAGAATGAAAAATGTAAATAAAAATAACTATACACTGGACTCAACAGTCAACAACACAGTCAGTACAGTAGTTAGTTAGTACACAACCACAACAGTAGTAAGTAAACAACAGCGCCTAGAGCACTATTATTTATCTCAATCTCAATCTCTCAATGGATTATTGATTGGCCTAGAGCCTAGCAGAAGACGGGGTTTTTTGTGTAGTGAAGTGAAGAGTAGTGACCATCCATGACTTGACTTGACTGATGATGAGGTTTTATTGACGTGACGAAGGACGAAGTAACAAAACAAAAAACAAATACCTGACGTCTGACGTCTTGACGACGAGGAATTGCCGCGTTTGCGCGCGCAAAACTGTTTTTTTACAGTGTAACCATAGAGTATGTAATTTATACTGGGTGATTGATATAAGTGTGCCATCTGTTTTATTCGAAAAATATAACAGATATCAAAAAAAGTTTAATGGTAAGAGCCTTGGAGGCTGCACTTTACTTTAGGTCCTACACTCATTCAAATGAAAATATTGATTATTCAATTGTTTCATTCGATATGTCGTTTGGTTAGTTAGGTTAGGTTAACCTTACCTAACTAACCAAACGGTATATCCATTGAAACAATCGATATATCGATATATCGAACGAGTGTAGGACCTAAAGTAAAGTGCAGCCTCCTTGGCTTTTTATTTTAGAAATTGTAGTAAAAATAAAGTCGAAATAGTATATCATGTTACTAGTCCTGGAAAAAGTGTTTACCGGACTAGTCCGGTACACACATTTTGGACGAGTTACGTACGATAGTTTTGCGTCATACTAATAAATCTGTACAAATCCTCGTATATTTCCACCGACTAAAAGACTAAAAATCACTAATCATAACCTCTCAACCATTCATTGCCACCTAGAATACGGAATGGGCACACGGGAGATAAGCGTCTAGACTGCCAGTGCAACTCCGAGGAACGAGGATCAGATCGGAAAACCACCTACCACCGCTCCGTGCCGATGGCGTGACGTCAACCATTACCGCAACGATACGGAACTGAGTCATGAGCCTTGGTGGTGTAGTGGATAGCGTGTCGGGCTGATAATCGGAAGGTGCCGGGCTTAAATCCCACTGATATCACTAACTTTTTGTCAAATTTTTTTTTTCATATCAGCAAGTTTGGTTGGTTTGGTTAGGTTATGACAGTTTAATTTTATAATTTAAAAATTATAAAATTGAATTTATTTTATAATTTTATTTTTAGAACAGAACTATTTTTTCGATTAGTAAACCTTCATCCGAGTTTTTATTATCAGCAAGTTTGGTTAGGTTATGACAGTTTAATTATATTTAATTTAAATTTAACCTACAAATGATACGTTTTGACAACAACAGTGATAGAGATAACAAGGCTTAGTTGTTAGCGTTTCGGTTTGGTGTTCAGGTGGTCCCGGGTTCGAATCCCGGTGGTAGCACGAATTTTTTGTCAACAAATTTTTCATATCAGCAAGTTTGGTTGGTTAGGTTAGGTTATGACAGTTTTATTTTATAATACTAAATTTTAAAATTAATTTTATAATTAATTAAAAATTATAAGTAATTATTAATTAGATTTTTATCTTATACAGTTTTTATATTAACAGCAAGTCTGGTTGGTTAGGTTATGTTATGACAGTTTTATTTTAAAAATTAAAAATTTATTTTATTTTTTTAAAAGTACAGTATTTTTTTAAAACATTTTTTTTTTAAATAAGTTAAAATTTTTTTAACTTATTTTTTTTAGTTAATTTTATAACTAAAAATAAAAATAAAATTTTTCAACTTAGCGGTTCTAGCGGCGAACGCTGACACTACAAGATATGTTAGCCTTAGTCCCTCCCGTGTGCCCCACCGCCTAAAATACAGTATAATAAGCTGATTGGTGTCCGGTAATAGTAGTTTACGCAACGATTGCGTTAAGTTAGTCTTTACGACACGAGTAGAAATTTTAATTACTTAAAAACTTCTACGAGTGTCGTAAAGACTATTAACGCGAGTTGCGTACACTACTTTACCTACGACCGTTTTTTAATTACTAACAATCTGGTTTTTCTATAAGTATAAAAGAGGATGTTTGTATTATATTTGTTTGGCAGTGATAAACTCAGACACCGCTGAACCGATTGCCACGAAACTTGGTACGTGTAGAATTTCATGGAATAGGTTTATACACCATCAATTTCGTGATCCGTCCAATCGGCTCCGCCCCAGTGGCTCTGGAGTTTCCCATGTTAACCTTATGAGAAATGGAAGAATCTTAACAGCTGTTTCAATTAAACAAGTTGGTTCTGTTCTATGACGTTCAATAGCATTAAAGTTACAAGGATTACCAACAGGGTGCAGCACTATTATTTCTTTTACATTGACAACAGCTAATTTGCAACCAAAAGGTGAGTGAGCGTAGCGAACGAACTTCAACCTGGAGGCGAGTTAGCGTAGCGAACGAGCTAACCTGAGGGCAAGTGAGCGTAGCGCACTTTCCGATCCTGTTCCTCCAGTGCTATATGGATTGCCTTAAGTCCATGAGGATGATATACCAATGAGACCTATAGTTTAGTGCAATCAATTTACCGACCTACAACACAGCCCACTACATAGCCAAGATGTTGAATCAGGGGTATACAACTTCAACACACATCAATGATTCCCGGCATTTTAGAAACATATTACAAGCCATCAAACTTGAGCCTACAGACATTTTAGTCAGTTTTGACGTAGTTTCTCTGTCCAAAAAATACCCCTGGATGATATACTGTTAAAATAATACAAGAAGTGTTACCAGAAGATTTGGCCGTTTGGTTGCAATGACCGAAATCGGAACAAATCCCCAAGCCAACCTTCAAGGCCTAGGTATCAAAATGATCAGTAGATTAAAATACATCCAGTCATACCATCAGATTTGTATATTTTCTTCAATTAAGAAATATTGCTCAGAGATAGCAGAGCTAGAAGTATGCCAAACAGATAGGTACATGTTAGTACGTCCTATTTTGAAAGGTGTTGTCAATTATAATAGTTGGAACTGGAACAGATGTTTTGACGTGCTACTGAAATTGGTTTGTTTTCGTTATACAGCAGCAAAAACAGCCGTTTTCTATTACATGCGTTGTGGATCTATAGTTCTTTTACTCCCTAGGGAATAAAATACATTTTTAGACCCGAAGGAGTAATATGCCTTTTAGTCCCTATAGAGTAAAGACTATTACTTCCTTCACTCATACGGTACTTGGGTTAAAATACGCACATAGTGGAGTCCCCATCTTAAATAATTGATAATTGATTATTGATTATTGATAATTGATGATGGATAATTGATATTTATGCATTTAGATAACTTAGTGATGTTCTTGAGGAGTGAGAAATTAAAATCGCATACGTTCAATCATTGTTATCATTTGGAATTATTGCTTTTGGTGGTGCTTACAAAACTATCTTGCAGCCTCTTTTTGTAGTGTAGAGATCAATTTTAAAAGTTGCATTTAAAAAACATTTTAGATATTCAACTGACGACCTTTTTGTAGAATCAGGAGTTTTGATAGATCGGTAAGCCCTAGTGGTTTTTGAAATTTATCTTAGTACACAGTCATGTTCAAACATTTTGATAATATTTTGAAAAAAAAAAATCATTCACACAATACGAGCTTTTCTCAAAACGTTGGTATATTTGTTCCACAGACCTCAAAATCATTTTCACACACAAACTGCTTTCATTTAACCCAAATTACCTATCGTAAAATGTGTGACAAATACCAGAATGTCGACAATTTTAATTCTACATATCTTCCTTTGTTTAAGAAGCATGTAGTTGGGTGGCTTGTAGGACTGAGTTCAGAGGATACCGAGGCTGTTATCGCGTTGGGTTGACCTGACCGCCCCTATACACTACAACACCCAATCGCTGATACACCACTCACCACTCCTCTCCGCTCAATCTATCAAATGATTTTAAAGAAGCACTTCAGATTCTTCTTAGTTTCGGAAAAGTATCGTAGTCCAGTTCCAAAATTTTTACAGCTTAGGGGAATAATCCTTAAGAAAGTACTAAATATTCCCTTCAGGTTCTAACGAGTAATTAAAATAAAAACCGCTTTTATTCACTTACTAAAAGAAACTGTATTCTTAAAAAATCATAACATCACTACTACTACTATGTTTTGTTTACAAATCTATATAATTAATACGCTACATGAAACTTTGTCGGTTGAACTCCTCCGCCATTTCTTAACCGATTTTATCCATTGACGTCTCATTGGAAAGAGCGTGCCGCGTAGATTTGCAAACTGGCCTTTTATTTTTGAAAAAGTCCCTTGGGCTCTGCCCCAGTGGCTTTGAAAGTTCCCATGTTATCCTTATGAAGAACATAATTGTTTACATTTTGATCAGCTGTATAATTTAACTGCTGTTATTTATTTTTCAATTCAATGAAACACATTGAGTACGTTTATTTACTATTTGAGTTTGTTTAAACATAACCCCCAAGTCGAATAGTGTTAGTATGGTTGTATCTTAAATTTGTGTATTTATCGTTGTTTTGTGTCGCTTTGACGGATCGTGTTAGCATGATTGTAGCTTAAATTTGTGCATTTATCGTTGTTTTGTGTAGATATAATTTGTTTATTTGTTGTTTTTTTTTCCTTTTAAATGCCTCCGACGCGACGACAACGAAACATAGACAGGAGTTTAATCGTGATAACGACCGCAACTACAGAACAGTGGCGCGTAATATGTTTAGTTTAGTAGTATGTTTTCTGTGTTTAACTCAACACATTCAGCACCTGACCCTGGCCCAACACTACCCCAACACGACTTTCCGTTCTCAATTGGCCCTCTATCAATCACCTGTGTTGCCTGTGTTGTCTTTGAGTTGACTCTTTTAAACTCATTGTAAATATGACTGTTATTCGTTTTGAAATAACTCCTGTAATACTTTGCAATTGCTCGAATTCGAGCAACATGTACACTAGTCAGAATAATAATTCAAACATATGAACATATGTTAGTTCCACACAGTACAGTAATTAATTAAACCAAAGTCTTTAAAATTGTGGGTATGAAACCAAAGTCTATTAAATTCAATTCGTATCAAAAATCAAGAGAAAATTTGTACCAGACGTGATAATAAATATTTCCAATAATGCATTTCCCATTAAAATAAATTACCCACAACTCATGTCTACGCACAATGCACAGGCCCCTGTCTGTGTAGACCT